GCAAAGTAAAATTTTTAAGTCATCTTTTCCAGCATGTTGAATACATACGAACTACTTATTGGAGTATTATTACTTAATAAAGGAGTTAGAATAGCTAGCATTTTTGAAATTAGAGGTCTAAAGTAGGGGGTTCAATATACCATGGCAGGGGGGTCAAAATACCATGGCTAAGTAAAATTTTCAAAATATTTTTTCCATCATGTTAAATACATACACACTACTTATTGGAGTAAAATTACTATGTAAAGGAGCTATAAAAGCTAGAATTTTTTAAATTAGAGGTCTATAGTAGGAGGTTCATTATACCATGGCAGGGGGTCAAAATACCATGGCTAAGTAAAATTTTCAAAATACCTTTTCGAGCATGTTAAATACATACAAACTACTTATTGGAGTATTATTACTATGGAAAAGAGCTATAATAGCAAGTAATTTGAAATTGGAGGTGTAAAGGGAGGGGGGGGGGGTTAAACCATGGCAAGGGGGGAGGGTCAAAATACCATGGCTTAATAAAATTTTTCAAAGCATCTTTTCCAGCATGTAAAATATGTACAAACTACTTATTGGAGTATTATTACTATATAAAGGAGTACGAATAGGAATAATTAGTGAAATTGGTGGTGTAAAAAGGGGGGTTTCAATATAACACGGGGGGGGGGGGGGGGGTCAAAATGCCATAGCTCAGTTAAATTTTCAAAACATCTTTTCAAGCATGTAAAATACATACAAACTACTTATTGGAGTATATTACTATGTAAATGAGTTATAATAGCTAGAATTTTGAAATTGAAGGTTTAAAATGGGAGGGGGAGGGGGTCAATATACCATGGCAAGGGGTAAATAAACCATGGCTAAGTAAAATTTTCAAATCATCTTTTCCAGCATATTAAATACATACAAACTACTTATTGTAGTATTATTACTATATAAAGGAGTAAGAATATCTAGAATTTTTGAAATTAGAGGTCTATAGTATGGTGTTCAATATACCATGACAGGGGGGTCAAAATACCATAGCTATGTAAAATTTTCAAAATATCTTTTCCAGCATTTTAAATACATACAAACTACTTATTGGAGTATAATAGATTATTACTATGTAAAGGAGTTAGAAAAGCTAGAGTTTTTGAAATTAGAGGTCTATAGTAGGGGGTAGAATATACCATGGCACGTCAAAATACCATGGCTAAGTAAAATTTTCAAAACACCTGTTCAAGCATGTAAAATACATACAAACTACTTATAGGAGTCCTCCACAGTTTCCGATCGGGATACCTGATGGGTTTTGAAGTCAATCAGACTAGTTCTGTATGATCTTATTTTTTGTTCATTTTACCTCAATCTTAACACATCAATTAAGGGTCTTATAAAAACTAAGCATATACAACAGCTGGTTGAACAGATTCTGTATAAGATTACGTGTCTCATTTAAATACTAGAGGGTCTAGAAGGGGTTTACAGAATAGGGAAAAGTGTACCAAATTTACAGAAAAATTCATAAGGGTTCTACGGAACCCAGTGTCTCGCCTAATTTTGCTGTTAGTCGCAGGTTCAACAATAATGGGGGAAAATTATTAAAAATGTTCCTCTAGATACTATCTGTTGATTGTAAGAAGCTTCTGTCCAAGTTTGGTAAAAATCCAGGATGGTTGATTATGAATCTAATAAAAGTTTTTAAAACTTTCACTGCAGACTGTATGTATCATGTTAACTGGGAGGAAAACTAAGTCCATTTATATTTTTATTAAGTAATATACGAAAAACAGGAAATAAAGTTTACAAGATTTCCTTCTAGGAACTAGCTTTTGATCATAAACAAGCTTCTGTCCAAGTTTGATACGAATCCAGCTAGATAGTTTACGAAAGTTATGAACATTTTTAAAACTTTAACCACAGAGTGACTGGCAGAAAAACTAAGTCAATTTATAAGTAAAATACGGATAAACAGGATTTTTGTTTACAAAATTTATTTCTGGATACTATCTTATGATCATAAGCAATCTTCTGTCCAAGGTTGGTAGAAATCCAGGATAGTTTAAGAAAGTTATTAGAATTTCAAAAACTTTAACCACAAACGCCGCCGCCGCGGCTGACGACGACGACGACGGAATAATAAATAAAATAAACAAATGAATAATCTTTATTTCAAGAGGATAATCCCATAAGTTAAAACTATTCTTACTGAGAGTCCTCAAAATAATAAAAACCTAGGGATCGCTATGTCTCGCTTTTGCGACAAAAGTCGCAGGCTCGACAAAAATCAACCCAATAGATTAAGAATAGAAAAAAAAGATAACAAAAAAAAGAAAACTCTGAGAGTGATATGGTGCTAAATATAAAGAATAAAGAAAAATGGGGAAAAAATATAAAGAAAAGAGAAAATTACCGAAAAAATTGGACAAAAGATATTAACGATTTAACGACAAAATACAAATACAAAAAATGTAGGGTCCCCCACCAAGAACCTAATACAACAACGCGGAAGTGATGCGAAGATAACGAATTAAATCATATTTACACACAAAAGGTCATTGTCGCCTATACTAATTAAGTGTTTTAATGATTCCTTTGAAACAATGCCTTGTTTATTTATATCTATATATTACCAACAGTTGGGAAAACAATAATTGAATAGAAAGACCTATGGATCTATTCAACATGGGTGAAACTGGTGAAGAACTGCAAGGGACTGTAGATATAAAATTTAAAAACAACGGCAAACATGAAAGCTTATGTCACTGTAAAACAGGTTTAATTCAACCTTTGTATCTATAGAAGAGGAGCGAAACACACCAGAGGGACATTCAAACTTATAAATCGAAAATAAACTGACAACGCCATGGCTAAAAAAAAAAAAAAAAACAGACAAACAATAGCACACAAAACACAACATAGAAAAATAAAGAGTAAGCAAAACGAACCCCACAAACTGGCGGTGATCTCATGTGCTTTTATATAAGACACAATTCAGTTTGGTAATTGTAATTAACAGGTTTCAAACACAACTATTTCCAACATTTTTGTGAATCGGGCTTATATCTAGATTTCTGAAATTAAAAGCCTTTCATAAAAGTTCTGTTCTCTGTTCAGTATGGAGAGAGAGAGAGAGAGAGAGAGAGAGAGAGAGAGAGAGAGAGAGAGAGAGAGATTCACACACAAACAAGACTTAGATTCCCGTATCTTTTTTGAAAATTAAAAAAGAATGTAATTAAACATTAATGTATTTAAAATTGAATATTTGGTCTACCTTTTTAAATTGGAATTGTCGAATTATTACACCAGGGTTTTCGATATCAAAAACTAGTCAAAACATTTACTAAATTTTATCATCGGTACAAGGACATCATTCGTAAATATAAATCAACATGCAGACATCTTATACGTTCAGGTATTTCACATCCAATATTGTATGGTAATATTCTTTACAAAGCACAAAAATGTCGGCATTCGCCTCAAAAGCTAACCAAACCTTTCAACAGACTTATTCGGAAAAGATATAGTTACGATACTGTTGTCAGGTCATTTAGGATTGCATATTTTGGTATTAATATTGATTCACTCATAGGGTCTTTGCATCGGAAATAAACACATTTATTCTAAAACCAGTTGTTGGCATGATACGGGTTAAGTTCTACTCATATATTTTATGATGGTATATATGATACTAAACCCCTAACGGGAGGGATTGTACTTGATTGTCATAATTATGATGAAGACATAATCTTTCAATCAGTTAAATTGATGTCTGGAGCTGGCATGTCAGTAACTGCTAGTAGTCCATTGTAATTTTGCTTAGTTTCTTTTGTTACCTATACTGATATCGGACTCGGACTTCTTTAAACTGAGTTTTACTGTGCGTAATAGTAAGTTAGTAAGTAAGTAAATTGTTTATTATAGTGACATGTGTAAATCAGCATAAATATATAAATTTGTACAAAATATAATTACATATATAATACACCCGGCCCAATGGACCAATAAGTCACCTTTTACTTTCAGTTCAATATAAATGTTCTAATATCACGTGTCAATTGCCAATTTAAATTTAAATACAGGTAATTATAGATTAAGAACTAACGTTTGTAAAAGTTCATATATTATTCATCTAAAGTTTGTGAAAAAGTTTAATGTTAACTAGAGTAAACTGTTTGTTTTCTACGGAAAAGTGACGCTGCCAAGTATTTAGCTATTTTATACTATGTATTTCTTTATTCTACATTGGCTAGAGGTATATATCTCATAAAACATGTTTAATCCCGCCGCATTTTTGCGCCTGTCCCAAGTCAGGAGCCTCTGGCCTTTGTTAGTTTTGTATGGTTTTTTTTTTTAATTTTAGTTCATTTGTATGTTTTGGAGTTTAGTGTGACGTCCATTTTCACTGATCTGGTACATAATTTTATTTAGGGGCCAGCTGAGAACCACCTCCGGATGCGAAATATTCTCACTGCGTTGAAGACCCATTAGTTGCCTTCGGCTGTTGTCTCTGACATATTCCCCATTTCCATTCTCAATTTTATCGATACCATAAAGAAAGGATCGTATTAATCCATCCAACTTTCTTTTTCGTATCTCTAATATATGTAAAGCAATTAATTTTTCGCGAGCGATTTATATTTGCGACTTTCGCGAGAAGAAAAACTAACGCGAATATATTTAGTCGCGAAAATTTAAAACTTTGATCTTTCCTTGTCACCTATCTACATCGGGTAAAAATTGAAAATAGCAAAATTAAATTAACGCGAAATTAAATCGCTTGAAATGGCTAAACGCGAAATAAAGTTTCCGCGAAAATAATTTGGTTTACATTTTGTATTGTAATTATAATAGACTGGCCTATAACATTTGTAAAATGCTAGCAGTATATGTGTGCAGGATTTACTGTCAGTTGTCACCTACAGCATTTTTTTGGCTAGAGGTTTACTTATTAATCAGATAATAGATTATCTTTTGTCTTTAGTCTATTATAATAAAGTGTGTTTTCATACATGGATAAACACAACAATAATTTTTTAGGTACCACATTCTGGAAAATTTATCATAAATGTAAGTCGATGTTGTTTTTTTTGTTTTGTTTTTTTTTATTTTAATATTTTTCTCTTATCGAAGTAATTTTAAGGCAGTTCATAATAATAAATATATTTCATATATCTTGACGAGCGAGTTAAGAAGTAAAAACAATTTTAAAATATGTCTCTTGTGAAAAAACAAATGGAAGATCAGTTCATTTATCTAAGCATGGTGCATGTCATGACGAGAGAAAATGAGAATTTTAGATTTTTTCAAATCACAATTTGTAGGTTCAACAATATGTAGAACAGAATTGAGGGTCAGGAATGGGATGGGGGGGGGGGGGGGGTATTTCATTTCTGTATTCTTTAATATTTGTTTTTGTCATTTTTCTCTTATTATATATTCTGTAATTTTTGTAGCCCATTATTCTGTAGTTTTGAGCATCCCGTTGTCTTCATTCTTAATTATTTTTGGAGGTGATCTCAGATGCACCGAAAGTCATATCCTCGTGAACACATAAAAGAACTGTCCATTATGCGCTCTACAAATTGTGAACTTACTTTACAGAGATCTATCCACTATGTATGATATTCCAAATCTATCAATTGTTTGTGAAAACAGATTTCTTGATTTACATATGCCTTCACACAACTTAAAGTTAAGTTTACAAAACATCTCTGTTTTATTCTTTAGTTTCTTATACCTAACTTTAAGAGATTAGAAATACTAAAGTTTCGCATGCCATTGATTATTTGCTGCTTAACAAAGAGCGGTAAACATTAAATGTTGGGCATACAAATGTTGATGTTTTCTTTAGATGTTATCTGAACATCAACATTTGAATTTTTTGTCTGAAATATTCTTTTTTTTCCATCCAGAAATTCTATTTCTTTTTCTCAGAAATTTTACTTTTTCAGAAATTCTATTTTTATTTCAGAAATTCTCTACTTTTCAGAAATTCTCATTTATAGATTATGAATTGCATATTGTCTTCTTTCTTTTCAGTACTATCATGACTGAAATTGCTAGCGTAGTTTTAAAAGGATTAAGTTTGATTGTACAATCCGGAGGATGCTGCTGGAAATGCTACAAAAGTATTATTTTTTTATTTATATATACGAGGGTCTGAGTGTGGTTTTTACGAGGCTCTGAAGGTTCAAAGAGAAAAGAATTTTCCAAGATTTCTTTTTTTGTTCATTATTTTCTACTCTTTATCTTAAACATCAAGGAGCTATAATAGCTAGAATTTTTGAAATTAGAGGTCTATAGTAGGGGGTTCATTATACCATAGCAGGGGGTCAAAATACCATGGCTAAGTAAAATTTTCAAAGCATCTTTTCATGCATGTGAAATACATTCAAACTACTTATTGGAGTACTATTACTATATGAAGGAGTAAGAATAGCTATAATGTGAAATTCGAGGTGTAAAAGGGGGGGAGCATGGTTTAACATAGATGTACCATGGCAGGGGGGGGCAAAATACCATGGCTCAGTAAAATTTCCAAAACATCTTTTCAAGCATATAAAATACATACAAACTACTTATTGGAGTATTATTACTATGTAAATGAGTTATAATAGCTAGAATTTTGAAATTGAAGGTTTAAAATGGGGGGTGGGGGGGGGGGGGGGGGGGGGGGGGGGGTCAACATACCATGGCAAGGGGTCAAAATACCATGGCTAAGTAAAATTTTCAAATCATATTTTCCAGCATGTTAAATGCATACAAACTACTTATAGTAGTATATTATTACTATATAAAGGAGTAAGCATAGCTAGCATTTTTTTTAATTCGAGGTCTATAGTAGGGGGTTCAATATACCATGGCAAGGGGTCAAAATGCCATGTCTAAGTAAAATTTTTAAATCATCTTTTCCAGCATGTTAAATACATACAAACTACTTATTGGAGTATAATTACTATGTAAAGGAGTCAGAAGAGCTAGAGTTTTTGAAATTAGAGGTCTATAAGTAGGGTGTTCAATATACCATGGCACGTCAAAATACCATGGCTAAGTAAAATTTTCAAAACATCTTTACAAGCATGTAAAAATACATACAAACTGCTTATAGGAGTATTATTACTATGTAAAGGAGCTAGAATAGCTAGAATTTTTGAAATTAGAGGTCTGTAGTAGGGGGGTTTAAAATACCATGGCAGGGGGGGTCAAAATGCCATGGCTAAGTAAAATTTTCAAAATATCTTTTCGAGCATGTTAAATACATACAAACTACTTATTGGAGTATTATTACTATGGAAAAGAGCTATAATAGCAAGAAATTTGAAATTGGAGGTGTAAAAGGGGGGGTTAAACCATGGCAAAAAGGGGGGGGGGGTCAAAATACCATGGCTTAATAAAAATTTTCAAAGCATCTTTACCAGAATGTTAAATACATACAAACTACTTATTGGAGTATTATTACTATATAAAGGAGTAAGAATAGCTAGCATTTTTGAAATTAGAGGTTTATAGGAGGGGGTTCAATATACCATGGCAGGGGGTAAAAATACCATGACTAAGTAAAATTTTCAAAGCATGTTTTCAAGCATGTTAAATACATACAAACTACTTATTGGAGTATTATTACTATATAAAGGAGTACGAATAGCTTAAATTTTGAAATTGGTGGTGTAAAAAGGGGGGGATTTCAATATACCACGGCAGGGGGGAGGGGGTCAAATGCCATGGCTAAGTTAAATTTTCAAAACATCTTTTCAAGCATGTAAAATACATACAAACAACTTATTGGAGTATAATTACTATGTAAATGAGTTATGATAGCTAGAATTTTGAAATTGAAGGTTTAAAATGGGAGAGGGGGGGGGTCAATATACCATGGCAAGGGGTAAAAAAACCATGGCTAAGTAAAATTTTCAAATCATCTTTTCCAGCATATTAAATACATACAAACTACTTATTGTAGTATTATTACTATATAAAGGAGTAAGAATATCTAGAATTTTTTGAAATTAGAGGTCTATAGTAGGTGTTCAATATACCATGACAGGGGGTCAAAATACCATGGCTATGTAAAATTTTCAAAATATCTTTTCCAGCATTTTAAATACATACAAACTACTTATTGGAGTATAATAGATTATTACTATGTAAAGGAGTTAGAAGAGCTAGAGTTTTTGAAATTAGAGGTCTATGGTAGGGGGGTACAATATACCATGGCACGTCAAAATACCATGGCTAAGTAAAATTTTCAAAACACCTGTTCAAGCATGTAAAATACATACAAACTACTTATAGGAGTCCTCCACAGTTTCCGATCGGGATACCTGGTGGGTTTTGAAGTCAATCAGACTAGTTCTGTATGATCTTATTTTTTGTTCATGTTACCTCAATCTTAACACATCAATTAAGGGTCTTATAAAAACTAAGCATATACAACAGCTGTCTGAACAGATTCTGTATAAGATTACGTGTCTCATTTAAATACTAGAGGGTCAGGAAGGGGTTTACAGAATAGGGAAAAGTGTACCAAATTTACAGAAAAAATCATAAGGGTTCTACGGAACCCAGTGTCTCGCCTACTTTTGCTGTTAGTCGCAGGTTCAAAAATAATGGGGAAAAATTATTAAAAATGTTCCTCTAGATACTATCTGTTGATTGTAAGAAGCTTCTGTCCAAGTTTGGTAAAAATCCAGGATGGTTGATTATGAATCTAATAAAAGTTTTTAAAACTTTCACTGCAGACTGTATGTATCATGTTAACTGGGAGGAAAACAAGGCCATTTATATTTTTATTAAGTAATATACGAAAAACAGGAAATAAAGTTTACAAGATTTCCTTCTAGGAACTAGCTTTTGATCATAAACAAGCTTCTGTCCAAGTTTGATACGAATCCAGCTAGATAGTTTACGAAAGTTATGAACATTTTTAAAACTTTAACCACAGAGTGAGTGGCAGAAAAACTAAGTCAATTTATAAGTAAAATACGGATAAACAGGATTTTTGTTTACAAAATTTATTTCTGGATACTATCTTATGATCATAAGCAATCATCTGTCCAAGGTTGGTAGAAATCCAGGATAGTTTAAGAAAGTTATTAGAATTTCAAAAACTTTAACCACAGACGCCGCCGCCGCTGACGACGACGACGACGGAATAATAAATAAAATAAACAAATGAATAATCTTTATTTCAAGAGGATAATCCCATTAGTTAAAACTATTCTTACTGAGAGTCCTCAAAATAATATAAACCTAGGGATCGCTATGTCTCGCTTTTGCGACAAAAGTCGCAGGCTCGACAAAAATCAACCCAATAGATTAAGAATAGAAAAAAAAGATAACAAAAAAAAAGAAAACTCTGAGAGTGATATGGTGCTAAGTATAAAGAATAAAGAATAATGGGGAAAAATATAAAGAAAAGAGAAAATTACCGAAAAAATTGGACAAAAGATATTAACGATTTAAAGAAAAATACAAATACAAAAAATGTAGGGTCCCCCACCAAGAACCTAATACAACAACGCGGAAGTGATGCGAAGATAACGAATTAAATCATATTTACACACAAAAGGTCATTGTCGCCTATACTAATTAATTGTTTAAATGATTCCTTTGAAACAATGCCTTGTTTATTTATATCTATATATTACCAACAGTTGGGAAAAAAATAATTGAATAGAAAGACCTATGGATCTATTCAACATGTGTGAAACTGATGAAGAACAAAATTTAAAAACAACGGCAAACATGAATCAAGCTTATGTCACTGCAGAACAGGTTTAATTCAACCTTTGTATATATAGAAGAGGAGCGAAACATACCAGAGGGACATTCAAACTTATAAATCGAAAATAAACTGACAATGCCATGGCTAAAAAAAAAAAAACAGACAAACAATAGCACACAAAACACAACATAGAAAAATAAAGAGTAAGCAAAACGAACCCCACAAACTGGCGGTGATCTCATGTGCTTTTATATAAGACACAATTCAGTTCGGTAATTGTAATTAACAGGTTTCAAACACAACTATTTCCAACATTTTTGTGAATCGGGCTTATATCTAGATTTCTGGAATTAAAAGCCTTTCATAAAAGTTCTGTTCTCTGTTCAGTATGGAGAGAGAGAGAGAGAGAGAGAGAGAGAGAGAGAGAGAGAGAGAGAGAGAGAGAGAAACTCACACACAAACAAGATTTAGATTCCCGTATCTTTTTTGAAAATTAAAAAAGAATGTAATTAAACATTAATGTATTTAAGATTGAATATTTGGTTTACCTTTTTAAATTGGAATTATCGAATTATTACACCAGGGTTTTCGATATCAAAAACTAGTCAAAACATTTACTAAATTTTATCATCGGTACAAGGACATCATTCGTAAATATAAATCAACATGCAGACATCTTATACGTTCAGGTATTTCACATCCAATATTGTATGGTAATATTCTTTACAAAGCACAAAAATGTCGGCATTCGCCTCAAAAGCTAACCAAACCTTTCAACAGACTTATTCGGAAAAGATATAGTTACGATACTGTTGTCAGGTCATTTAGGATTGCATATTTTGGTATTAATATTGATTCACTCATAGGGTCTTTGCATCGGAAATAAACACATTTATTCTAAAACCAGTTGTTGGCATGATACGGGTTAAGTTCTACACATATATTTTATGATGGTATATATGATACTAAACCCCTAACGGGAGGGATTGTACTTGATTGTCATAATTATGATGAAGACATAATCTTTCAATCAGTTAAATTGATGTCTGGAGCTGGCATGTCAGTAACTGCTAGTAGTCCATTGTAATTTTGCTTAGTTTCTTTTGTTACCTATACTGACATCGGACTCGAACTTCTTTAAACTGAGTTTTACTGTGCGTAATAGTAAGTAAGTAAGTAAGTAAATTGTTTATTATAGTGACATGTGTAAATCAGCATAAATATATAAATTTGTACAAAATATAATTACATATATAATACACCCGGCCCAATGGACCAATAAGTCACCTTTTACTTTCAGTTCAATATAAATGTTCTAATATCACGTGTCAATTGCCAATTTAAATTTAAATACAGGTAATTATAGATTAAGAACTAACGTTTGTAAAAGTTCATATATTATTCATCTAAAGTTTGTGAAAAAGTTTAATGTTAACTAGAGTAAACTGTTTGTTTTCTACGGAAAAGTGACGCTGCTAAGTATTTAGCTATTTTATACTATGTATTTCTTTATTCTACATTGGCTAGAGGTATATATCTCATAAAACATGTTTAATCCCGCCGCATTTTTGCGCCTGTCCCAAGTCAGGAGCCTCTGGCCTTTGTTAGTTTTGTATGGTTTTTTTTTTAATTTTAGTTCATTTGTATGTTTTGGAGTTTAGTGTGACGTCCATTTTCACTGAACTGGTACATAATTTTATTTAGGGGCCAGCTGAGAACCACCTCCGGATGCGAAATATTCTCGCTGCGTTGAAGACCCATTAGTTGCCTTCGGCTGTTGTCTTTTTGACATATTCCCCATTTCCATTTTCAATTTTATCGATACCATAAAGAAAAGATCGTATTAATCCATCCAACTTTCCTTTTCGTATCTCTAATATATGTAAAGCAATTAATTTTTCGCGAGCGATTTATATTTGCGACTTTCGCGAGAAGAAAAACTAACGCGAATATATTTAGTCGCGAAAATTTAAAACTTTGATCTTTCCTTGTCACCTATCTACATCGGGTAAAAATTGAAAATCGCAAAATTAAATTAACGCGAAATTAAATCGCTTGAAATGGCTAAACGCGAAATAAAGTTTCCGCGAAAATAATTTGGTTTACATTATGTATTGTAATTATAATAGACTGGCCTATAACATTTGTAAAATGCTAGCAGTATATGTGTGCAGGATTTACTGTCAGTTGTCACCTACAGCATTTTTTTTGGCTAGAGGTTTACTTATTAATCAGATAATAGATTATCTTTTGTCTTTAGTCTATTGTAATAAAGTGTGTTTTCATACATGGATAAACACAACAATATTTTTTTAGGTACCACATTCTGGAAAATTTATCATAAATGTAAGTCGATGTTGTTTTTTTTTTTTTGTTTTTTTTTTCATTTTAATATTTTTCTCTTATCGAAGTAATTTTAAGGCAGTTCATAATAATAAATATATTTCATATATCTTGACGAGCGAGTAAAGAAGTAAAAACAATTTTAAAATATGTCTCTTGTGAAAAAACAAATGGAAGATCAGTTCATTTATCTAAGCATGGTGCATGTCATGACGAGAGAAAATGAGAATTTTAGATTTTTTCAAATCACAATTTGTAGGTTCAACAATATGTAGAACAGAATTGAGGGTCAGGAATGGGATGTGGGGGGGCGGTCTTTCATTTCTGTATTCTTTAATATTTGTTTTTGTCATTTTTCTCTTATTATATATTCTGTAATTTTTGTAGCCCATTATTCTGTAGTTTTGAGCACCCCGTTGTCTTCATTCTTAATTATTTTTGGAGGTGATCTCAGATGCACCGAAAGTCATATCCTCATGAACACATAAAAGTACTGTCCATTATGCGCTCTACAAATTGTGAACTTACTTTACAGAGATCTATCCACTATGTATGATATTCCAAATCTATCAATTGTTTGTGAAAACAGATTTCTTGATTTACATATGCCTTCACACAACTTAAAGTTAAGTTTACAAAACATCTCTGTTTTATTCTTTAATTTCTTATACTTAACTTTAAGAGATTAGAAATACTAAAGTTTCGCATGCCATTGATTATTTGCTGCTTAACAAAGAGCGGTAAACATTAAATGTTGGGCATACAAATGTTGATGTTTTCTTCAGATGTTATCTGAACATCAACATTTGAATTTTTTGTCTGAAATATTTTTTTTTTTCCATCCAGAAATTCTATTTCTTTTTCTCAGAAATTTTACTTTTTCAGAAATTCTATTTTTATTTCAGAAATTCTCTACTTTTCAGAAATTCTCATTTATAGATTATGAATTGCATATTGTCTTCTTTCTTTTCAGTACTATCATGACTGAAATTGCTAGCGTAGTTTTAAAAGGATTAAGTTTGATTGTACAATCCGGAGGATGCTGCTGGAAATGCTACAAAAGTATTATTTTTTTATTTATATATACGATGGTCTGAGTGTGGTTTTTACGAGGCTCTGAAGGTTCAAAGTTAAGAGAATTTTCCAAGATTCTTTCTTTGTTCATTATTTTCTACTCTTTACCTTAAACATCAAGAATAGAGAAGAAATGGCATGATACTATATAATGAATAAATAACATGAATAATGATGAGAATAAAAAGGGAAAATTGCGGAAATGCCCCCCCCCCCCCCCATAAAAAACCTATTCAAAACGCAGGTTGATCGTCAATGATTTTACAATCGATCCAGGGCTTTGCCAGTTGACTGCACACCTATTATTTTTTTAAATTTGGCCCTCCGATCCAAATCCTACTTGAAACTTCTTGATCTGCCAATGGCCAATAAAATTAGTAAACCAAATTAGAAGTCTATAATTCATTTATCTACCCATTACCTAGCATGCTAGAGTTTAAAGATACAAGTAAACGAACATAATTAAACGATATAAGCGATAGTTGACAACCATTTATGTCATACTCTATAAAAAGAAGAAGATGTGGTATGATTACAAATTAATGTACCAATGAGAAAACACTCCACCAGAGGCCAAATGTCATAGAAGTTAGCAAAATTAGGTCACCATAATGATTTCAACAATGAACAAAATCATAAACAGCATAGTCAGCTATAAAAGGCCCCGAAACGATAACAAAAATTAAGGTAAAACAATTCAAACGAGAAAACTGACGCCCTGATTTATGTATAAAAAACAATAAATGAAAAAATATGATTAACAGCAACAATTGACAACCTCTGGTTTTTGGACATGCACATACATAATGTGACGGATTTAAAAGTGTTTGTGGGCGCCCAACCCTTGTGGTGTATCTTAGAACATCGATACACAGCAAAACAATTAAACTTACAAAAATGTTCATACTGGCATCTCCGTTGTGATAAACCTGGCCATTAACCAATAGAGAGGAGAAGTGGAACAACTCTCTATGTCTTTATATTTATTTTATTCGAGTCACTTATTTTCGACGAAACTTAGATTTGATACTCTTTTGCAAAGTGAAACCTCCCTGGAACTTTCCTCTAGAAACAGCAATAGGGAGAACTTTATACATGCATTTAAACATACAAATTTTGATGGTAAATGAATTAACATGTTTTCATGCATGTCAAAACAAATTTCATTTCTATTTTAGACAAATATTGTTTCTGTTGTCGTGAAAAGGAAAATAAAGTTGGTGACAGCAATAACGATGATGGTAATGCCGATAAGAACAATGGTGAAAAATCTAACAAGTCCACGACAAAAGATGAGGTTAAAGATGAAACTAACACTAAAGATGAAGATACGGATAAAGATGTGAAAAGTAGCAAGTAAAAGAGAATGGCATCAAGAGTAGACAGATAACACTACCCAACTGGCTACTAAATAATATGTTTCAAAATCATCTAGAAAATATTTTTCTTTTTAAAACTATTCGAGTGCGTAATAGTAATACCATGCCATTTTCGGAAATTATGCCACTACATTTATGTCCTTCTGAAATATTTACAAAGTTTATTGTATATCATAATAAAACATTAAAATATTGAAATTAAACTTTTAATAGTTTTAATCAATTAAAAAAATCTGTTTGACTGATTTATTGTTTGTTGCTCAACGTCCAGTGGCAAATATTTCGTGCATGTTAGGAACGAGAACAAAAACGAATTCTGAATTTATAAAAATGCGTCCCCAGTTAATCATAAAGCGTCATGATGGTTAATTTGGTTACCAAGTACAAAGCGAAGCTATGATTATTTTTTTCTTTCCAACTGATACTCTGGTAAAATACAGTTGATAGTAACACCTTTTTTATTTATGCTTTCAAACAACAATATTTCCACGCTTAAAAAGTTATTCTGAAATATTTTAATATCATTTTCTCAAGCGGATGAAACCTCGATGTTTCTGGATAATTATGTCACCCAGAACATTAAAAGAAAATACAAAGATGACCAGATGTAGATAGACAGACAACATGCATTCAACAAAACACTACACAAAAACCGAAATACTAATCAACACGAAACCCATCGAAAACCAGGGTGCACCATTGCTCCGAAAGAGCAAGAAATTCCCCTGCTCTACTAGTCGCAACCGCCTTTATCCAAGTTATGACTTTATTGCAAATAGAAGAATATAATCTGTTTTGATTTTAATATTCACATTTTCAAATAAAACGTAAAATTACAACACAGTCAAGAAAAACGCGAAAGAGTTATTTCTCTTTACACGTGATACTAAATATTTCCGAAGCCAAAGTCTATACAGAATATGCGCATACGTTTTAAATATAAGTCTTTTAATTTGGATAAGCATACTGAATTTTGGACCGAAAATATGCACTTTTGATGTAACTGATTGTGACGATATCTTTGTCACTTTTTGTTTAAGACCTGATTTTTCATTAATATACATCAGCGCAAAGTCGAGGAAAAGGTAACAGATTTGATGCTGGAAAATCAAAGGTAAATAGAAACGAAGTAGCGCCACAACATTTATATATTAGAATTAAATACAAAGAAAACTAGGAAATGCAATTAATTCATTTCATATAAAAAAGAAGATGTGGTATTATTGCCAATGAGACAACTCTCCACATGAAACCAAATGAAACAGAAATTAACAACTGTAAGTCCCCGTACGGACATCAACAATGAACAAAGTCCATACCGCATAGTCATCTATAAAAATTAATCAGAAAAATACTGCTTTTAATGATTGTAATACTGAGATTTAAACAGTTATCTTACAACTGAGGAGGTGGTTATTGCAGCTAAATCTTTAAAGAATAATAAAGCAAGTGGTTCAGATTGTATTACAAATGAAATGTTGCAAATATCTTGTAATATGAATATTGATGTTTATGTAAAATTGTTTAATCTTATTCTTAAGTCTGGTACATGTATTTACCCAACATTATGGAGAGAAAATTTTATTAAGCCCATTTTTAAGGGTGGGTGTTTTAATGATCCATCTAATTATCGAGGTATAGCCCTTTCAAGTTGTTTAGGAAAATTCTTTCTTAAAGTTTTATATAGTAGATTAGAAAAATATCTTGAAGGAAATACAATTATTTGTCGTGAGCAAATTGGATTCAGGAAGGGAAGTCGAACAAGTGATCATGTTTTAACTCTTAAAACTATTATTGATAAGGCATTTAAATCATCAAAAAAGATATATGCCTGTTTTATAGATTTCAGGTAGGCATTTGATACTATTAACAGGGAGGCTCTCTTTTACAAATTGTCTTATTACAACATAGATGGCCTCTTTTTCGGTATAATGAAAGATATGTATAAAAATGTTTTGTACTCCGTGAAGATCTCTGAATGTGTCACTGATATTTTTAATTCCACAGTTGGGGTAAAACAAGGGTGTATTTTAAGTCCCACATTATTTTCTGTATATATTAATGATTTGCCCCCTATTTTTGACTCCGCATGTGATCCGCCTAAGTTAAACGATAATGATATTTCATGTTTGTTATATGCTGATGATTTAGTTCTTATTTCTGAAACTGCTAATGGCCTACAAAAATGCCTTGATAAGCTAAGTTTATATTGCAATAGTTGGGATTTAACAGTAAATCTTAACAAAACCAAAATTATGATTTTTAACAAATCTGGTAAAAACTTACAAAAGACAAGTTTGTATTTAATGATAATGGTTCGGAATTAACACTGTACAGAATATAAATATTTGGGTATACAGTTTAAACCCTTTGGTAGTTTTACTGAGGCAGTGAGACTTCTTTGTAAAAAAGCCTCAAAAGCTATATTTTGTATTAGAAAACTGTTATTTTCTGAAGATATTAATGTTTTACCTCACCTCAAGCTTTTTGATGCTTGTGTTAAACCTATACTTCTTTATTGTAGTGAAGTTTGGTCTCTATATATGATTAAAGATATTACAAATCTAGAGTCAAAATATTGGTCATTGGCTACCAATAAAATTCAGATTAAATTTGCAAAAACTTTAATTGGAGTAAATAAAACAGCTGTCAATTTAGCAGTACTAGCTGAACTTGGTATGTATCCAGTTTTTATAGAAGCATTAAAACTGTCAATTGGCTTCTGGTTGCATGTGATAAAATCTGGTAATAATTGTTTACTTAAAGATGTATATAGTTCAAACCTGCAATTAACCAATGGATTTGCGAAAAAGATTGAACAGCTACTTGCTACATTAAATTTTTCACATGTTTGGGAAAATCATGATACTATTTCAAAAAGGCGTTTATTATATGCACTTCATACCAAACTTAATGATAGATATCTGAATTATTGGAAAGAAAATATTTTTTGTGACGATAAATCATTGCACGGTAATTAGCTCAGAACATATAGACAACTTAAACAAAATTACAAATTGGAAACCTATTTATTGTTAAATATTGACAGAAAAGTAATAGGACATTTTGCCGAACTTCGCATAAGTAATAGTGTTCTTAAAATTGAACAAGGACGGCACACTAAAACACCTGTAGAAGAAAAAAATTGTCCCTTGTGTCTTTTAGAAGTAGAAGATGAATTTCATTTCACTATAATATGTACAAAACTAAATACAATTAGAGAACAATTATTTTCCAAAATTAGTGAAATAGTTCCCTCGTTTTTAAATATGACTAATGAAGCAAGATTTAAATTTTTGTATACTTGTGGTGAGACTGATATAATTAAAATTATTGTAAAATTCATAAGCACCATGTATAATTCTAGAAATGCTTTATTGAGTACTTAATAACTTTGTGGTACCACCTCCTCAGCAGAGATTATATATACATTCATTTATAATTGTAACAATATTTTCTTTTAATAATGGAGGGGATATACAGTTATAAATATATAAAGTTTATAAATGTGGTCAGATTATGTTTGTATGTTTATGTATAGTCAATGTTTATTGTCTTGGTAACAATCCTATGATTTTGGATTTTGAACCAATAAAATTATCTTATCTTATCTTATCACATCTTATCTTATCTTGTCTATAAAAGATATAAAAGGCCCCAAAATGCCAATTGCTAAACAATTCAAAGGAGAAAACTAACGGCCTAATTTATGTGCAAAATAATGAATGAAAAACAAATACTAGTGTTAACAAAGCAACAAACGATAATCCCTGGATTACAGGCTTCTGACAGTTTAAATTGTGCTTTCCGTTCAAACCTATCTTCACCGGTAATGTTAAAAGACAAAAGACGGTCGTAATAAAGTCCATTAAAAACTAGCAAATAATTGAAAATAATCTACGGATAAGTTTTCAATGGCTGAACCTAGCTTAGTTTCTGTAAAGTTTTATTTAAAGAAATGACTTATTCAATTGTATTTCAATTTCCATTATTAAGTTTTTAGATAGAAATAGTTTTGTCGTCAAACAGTTAGGAATAAAAACAAAAGAATAATTAAATTTTTAATGAACATTAATTTTTTTATTGGCAAATGATGTATGCACACTGACATGACCTCAGAACGAAAAACACCTGGGACCTATAGATAATGGTACGTCATGAAACATGCATGGTACCAACAGATTAAGTATGACCAGGGACCAATAAATATAGGCACATGAAACCTGGGACTATTAGATAAAGGCAAATGCAACCTCGGCTAATATATATGTCAGCTTGTAATCCAAGTATTGATACTTCAATCCATTTATATGATCACACAATAAAACCAATGTTATTATATTGTAGTGAAATCTGGGGTACCTTTAAGATTAACTCTGCTGCTTGCAAGAAAAAAAGTGATTATCTATTTGAATTAATTTACATAAATGATTATTTGGAAAAATCACATTTCAGGTATCTAAAATATATTCTTGGTGTAAATAAAAAAGCCTCAAATTTGGCAGTGTTATCAGAGGTTGCAAGATTTCCTCTTTATTTTTCTGTCATTATATCTATGGTAAAATATGTACACAGGCTTAACAAATTGGACGATGGGTTACTTTATGATGTTTATGTTTGTAATAAAATTTTAGATGCAGGAAACATTAATTGTTGGTATTCATCTATGAGATATGTCCTTCAATCACTTGATATACAAAATTTGAATACAAAGCTCAATAAATTAATTAAATTTGTAAAATGTAAACTTTGTAACAGTTTTAAAACATTTTGGGTGGTCAAAAGATCTGATACCTTATCACAAGGTAATAGTAAATTAGAAAATTATTTCAACCTCAAGACTGACTTCGTAAAGGAGGCTTATTTATCAATTAAAGATTTTAATATAAGAAGAGCTATATGTAAATTGAGAATAAGTGCACATGATCTTAAAATTGAGAAAGATAGATATAGTAAAAAATACATAGAGAGAAGTCAGCGTCTATGTCATCACTGCCTATCACATATGGATCAAATTCTATTGAAGATGAGACCCATTTCACAGTAAGTTGTCCTTTATATAACGAACAGAGAAAATCATTATGGGATAAAGTAAACAGTTTTTGTAATAATTTTTAAAGAATTACCCAAGGATAAAAAATATTTCTGGCTGTTCACAAATGAGCATTTACCAACTCTTATGTGCCTAGGCAATTATATAATTAAGTGTT